AAAAGTTTCTTCTTTTGAGGTGCCTAAACGAACGCGCAGTGTCCATTCTTGAGTTTGTACGATTTTAAAAATCGATCCACCCTAATATTTACTTCATTGACACGTATTGACAATTATTCACAGGCATTTGCACTGCGTTCCGTAGTGTTATTGTTGTTGTTTTCTTCTGTTGCTTCGTCTCGTTCGTGGCGAGCAGGAATGACAGTTGCAACCACGCACATTTTATTGACCATATTTGCATGCATTCGCAGCTAGTTATTCAGCGCATTGACACGCATTGACGCGTATTGATCCAAACTCGGTAGTATATGCGATTATTTACAATATTTATATTTTCATTTACTCAGTTCTTTCCCCCTAGGTTTTTTGGACATTTCCAAATGCATGGTTCTAAAGATTTATTGAAATGAACAAATTATTTTTCTTGTTATTGTTGCATTACGCTCTTCTTTCTCTACATGCAATCCGATCCAAATCGAATGACCCTATTCATGTAATTCATAGGAAAAACACTTCATGCTTTTATCAGTACTAAGATCAGGCAACATTTGGAGTAAAAGTGATTTAGAATTTCAAATGTTGTTTTTTTTCTAAAGCTTGGGTGTGTTCAGAAAATACAACTTTTATAGAAACACCACACAAAAATTCACAAAATGCTATATGTTTTTTGGAGCCAATTTTCTGCGAAATTTTTCTTATCAAGCCGACTTTTGATTCATAGAACTCGAGATTTATCAGTTGTAACAACAACATTTTAAGAACAACAAACAACTCGATTCCGGAACAATTCATTATCGTTGAAAAAAAAATCAAATTTGTTTGACGAAAATGACATGAACTTTGGGTCCTAATCTGAATATATAGAACTCCAAGACAAATATCAGTCCAGTGTTCAATCAGTGGTTAAGCTATACAAGTCCAGTTAATAAGTGGATTTAGCTGTAAATGGTTGTATTTTGTGTGAAACATGTGGTGTTCAAGGAATATTCTATATTTTATTGTGATAACAGGAGTATGCGTTGTAACGGAAAAGAAGTCTTTTAATCAAATCGACACAAAAGTAATTCCTGACGATGGATCATTCTTTCTAGCAGCCATTCGAAAATTAGAGGAAGTAAGAAGTGAAATGAAATCCGAACAAAGGTTGATCACAGTAGCATCAAAACCAGCAGAATTACTACCAACAATTGGTTCAACGTTGAGCGCTGGACTTCAATATATCGGTCAAACTTACGGTACAAATGAAGGAAAATGGATACATTTGATGTTGAATAAAATCATGGAAGCAGCCGAATCAACATCAGTGCGAACACAATATGATTCGATACGTATTTCGGCCAAAACAATTGGTCAATTATTTCAGCAAATGCAGAGTGCAACGCCAGAAGACCAAAACTCGATTACACTTGATATTAATACAAAACTTTTAGATATTTTCAATACATTTCATATTAGTGAAAATGCATTTAAAAAATATCCTCATCTGGCGATTCCAACATTACTTGAACTTACACCACTCATGTTTGTTGTCGAACAATTATTCAAGTTAAAAAAACCCGATTTGCTTGAAAAGTGGTTTTATTCCTGCAGACTAGTTGATCTGTTGAAAAAGTATCGTACGTTGGTACTTTTCTATCGCATGTCCGGTTTAAGTGTGCCATATTCATCGGCAATGGTGGAAATCCAACCAAATCAACCACCATTCCGTCACATCAGCAATGTTCTGAGAAAACCATTCAATCGCTATGGATATAATGAAACCAACCGCGATTACATGGAATGTCATACATTTGGCCACTGCAAGAAACATGGAATGAAAATCGATAAATGTTTTGAGGACGAGCGTATAGGTGTTGAAATTTCCGCTGTAACCTATGAAGTCATTGGTGAAGGATTTTATTTTGATAATACATGCGTGCAACAATATGTTGAACTGCTACGATTACGTGTCGAACAAACATTTCAAGGGTCAATTGATATATTAGAAGAGGGACTATGCACAGCCGATCGAAGGGCTAAACGAGATTCAACAGGTTTTAATCTATTTGATTCTCAGGTCCAATCAGAATGCTAAACTATAAAATTTATAGTGACACTATAAAATTTGAAACGAGTTTATGCTGTGTTTAGCCGAAGTATTTGGTTAGATTCCTTAAATTTACGCCAAATTCAACTAAATTAAACAATATCCACACATAATTTCTTCATATTTTCAATTTGATAACAGTTTCAATTTTAAACTACACAGAAAATTGGAAAAATCGAGTTATGTGGTCATTGGAAAGCATAAAGCAGTGTGTATTATTGGCAGATATCAAAGTAAAAAGTCCAATTTCATCATTCAATTATAAATCGGATCACTATTTTAGCTAAAAATGGCGGAAAAATGAGTTTTCAATCGAAAAATGCGAATATTGAACAATATATGCTGTTTTTGAGAAATTTACTTACTTTTACTTGAAAACTTGCCAATATTATGGTATGAAAAGTTGACGAATGACGTCTCAGAGTCGATCCAAGTCGAAACATTTACATGTTCCAATAAAAAATAGAGAAAAAGAGCTCCATACTAATTCCCAAAAAATCACGAAAAATCGAAAAAGTTGGAAAATTCCGACGTAAAACGTCTTTTTGGGCCCTAATAGGTTCCATACGATTGAAATTTTCCAAAAAAGTAAAAAAAAGTCGAAAAAAACAATTTCAGAAAATTTCCTTTTTTTCAAAAAAACACAAAAAAATCCAAAAAAAAATTGATGAAATCATTGCGGTTTTTGGATCACATCGTCATTATTTGTCATAACTCATTCCGTGGGACCAAAATTTCTCCATAAAAATGCAGAAAAACAAAATTTTTTTTTTATAGTGTACCCTATAAATTTTATAGTGTAGTTTAAAATTGCAACTGTTATCAAATTGAAAATATGAAGAAATTATGTGTGGATATTGTTTAATTTAGTTGAATTTGGCGTAAATTTAAGGAATCTAACCAAATACTTCGGCTAAACACGTTTCAAATTTTATAGTGTCACTATAAATTTTATAGTTTAGCATTCTGATTGGACCTCAGTCCGGTTTTTTTAATTTCTTAGAATTTTTTTTTTCGTTTCCATAATAGGTTCTGGTCGATTGATGATTGCAGTAACTGATTTTTATGGACATGATGGATTTAAAATTTTTGTGAATGACAAACAAATTCATTCTTTTATGCGTTGGGATGATAGAAAATGTTCGAATTTTAATGTTTTTCAACGTGGTCATACAACATTATTCCAAGTTATTACTGAAGAATCGATTCTAAACAGTTCAATTATTCGATTTGAATTGATTTCATGCCATGCGTCGGGATGGAAACAATTTTTCAGAGATTTAGTATTTATGGCTAAAAGATGTGATACACTTTCTACTGACAAACAATGGAGCAAAAGCATCGACGAAATTTTAACAACAATTATAAATTCAGTCGATGGTATTGGACGTCATGAAGAAAATGGATTGTTTTACTTGTCATACTGGGAACAATTTTATGAAGATTCAATTTAAACGAATTTTTTTATGTGCATCCGTTTGACGTCAGCTTTTTAATCATTTTCAATTTAAATTCAAATGGTTTTTTTTTACAATACAGATAAAAGTTCTCTTTCAACTCCGTTCAGGAACTAAAAGTATTCAAAGAATTTTAAATGCAAATAAATATTTAATATAAAAAATGATCAAGTTTACGAATTTTATTTGATTTGCATTATTTTTTTTTCACATTTTTCAGTAAAAAAAATCACTTAGATTACTGAGTTGCTGTTCCTTTAGATCACTGAGTTCCTGTTTTAATGCATCACGTTTTTGAAGTAGTTCTTGTCGTTCACATCGAAGTTCTATGAGTCTTAGAAAATTCTCATTTGAAGTCTTATGTAATTCTATGAGTAGGTCAGCTAGTGTACCATTTTGATTGTCTCCGATAGAGTCGTTGAATTGTTTCAAATCTTCTCGCAAACGATCTCTCTCTTCATGGCATTTTTGTAGATCAAGCGAAGAAACTGCTTGAGTTTGTTGCTATTTTGAAAAACAACGAATTGAAAAACGTTCGCTCATTTTGTGATTGGTCGGGAATTATTTTTTTGTTTTGTATCAATTACACTTTGTATTACCTGCAACTGCAGCAAAATAACAAACACGAACAAAACTAACGGCAATCCGTTCATTTTTACACGAATTTCAAAAGGTGAATATTTAAATAGATGTGCCAAAATGACTTTGGATATGGTCGTTTTCAAAATGCAAACTGCAATCGATGCCTGGCAGCTAAATAATGATTTTAAATGCACTTCTCAATCCATAATAGCACAATGTATGTAATCAGAAAAATGATAATAAATTTTGATAAACTTTCAACCTCATCGATTCGCGACGTAGAAAAATGACAATAAATACTTTTCAAAACCTTTCCAGTGACGTATAACTTTTTAATCCGATGGCGTGTTAAAAAACTCAATGTGGACCGCTATTTATCAATCGCTAAAAATGGCCATAGATCGGCTAAATTTTTGTCATCAAAAACTTTCATCCGGTCAGAATTTCAATTGGCTTACAAATTAGGACCTTAATTTGGATTAAATAAGACAAAAACCCAATGAAATAATGCAATTTTATGCTCAATGAAGCAGCGGACTTGTCGGCATACTCGTGGATTCAGCATTTCACTTGCTTTGGCAATTCGTGAGTTGCCGAAGCATCATATATGCAGTGCACTCGATATTTA